GAAGTCTTCCATAGCAATGGAGCAGGAGCTCGTCTGAGGTGTCTAGGAGGAGGGAGGTGGCCGAGAGGCAGACCACAGAAGCCTTCCATAGCAATGGAGCAGGAGCTCGTCTGAGGTGTCTAGGAGGAGGGAGGTGGCTGAGAGGCACAGACAACAGAAGCCTAGCAATGGAGCAGGAGCTCATCTGAGGTGTCTAGGAGGAGGGAGGTGGCCGAGAGGCACAGACAACAGAGGAGGGAGGTGGCCGAGAGGCACAGACAACAGAAGCCTTCCATAGCGATGGAGCAGGAGCTCGTCTGAGGTATCCAGGAGGAGAGAGGTGGCTGAGAGGCACAAAACCACGATCCTTGAATGTTTCCATTGACCCCATCATACCCTAGCTGCCTCTTCCCTGTACTTAAATCAACGGGCTTTAAAATTAATAGACTTGGCCAGGCGCGGTGGCTCACACCTGTAATCCCAGCAGTTTGGGAGGCCGAGGCAGGCGGATCACAAGGTCGAGATCGAGACCATCCTGGCCAACATGGTGAAACCCCATCTGTACTAAAAACAAACAAACAAACAAAAATTAGCTGGGCATGGTGGCACGCGCCTGTAGTCCCAGCTACTGGGGAGGCTGAGGCAGGAGAATTGCTTGAACTCAGGAGGTGGAGGTTGCAGTGAGCTGAGGTTGCGCCACTGCACTCCAGCCTGGTGCCTGGTGATGGAGTGAGACTCTGTCTCAAAAAATAAATAAATAAATAAACAAACAAATAAAATTAATAGACTTTATGTTTTAGAGTAAATGTGAGTGGAAAGCGCAGAGTTCCCCCAAACCCTCTCCCCTTAGACCAGCACCATCCAGCAGCATGTGCTAACACTTGTTACCACTGATGAACCGTTACGGAGACATCAATCCCAGCCTTTTTAAAAACAAGCTTTTCGGCTGGCAACCGTGGCTCACACTTGTAATCCCAGTCACTTGAGGTCAGGAGTTCGAGACTAGCCTAACATGGTGAAACTCCTCCTCTGATTAAAAAAAAAAAAGTTAGCCAGGTATGGTAGCGCACACCTGTAATCCCAGCTACTTGGGAGGCTAAGGCAGAAGAATCACTTGAACCCATGAGGCGAAGGTTGCAGTGAGCCAAGATCGTGCCATTGTACTCCATCCTGGGCAACAAGAACAAAACTCAGTCTCAAAGTAAATAAATAAATAAATGAAAAGCTCTTCTGTTCTCTGCCTCTTGGCACTCTTTGAGAAGATGGCAAGAACAAAATGCTGTAGTGGTGTATTCCAGCCAGGGTGCACCTTAGGACCAGCCTGGCCTCTTCCCAAAATCCAGATGTTCAGACCCCACCTGAACGGAATGCAGCCTGGGTGTGTAGATGGGGTTCCGATTCACTCCTTCATTGACAACCTCCAACATATGGTCTAGAACTGGGTCGGGTAGTCTCCAAAATGGACGCACCATTTTCCTGACACACTGCTGTGTGGTGCCAGCTTTTGCGACCACTTGGTCACAATTGCTCCTGTGCAGTTTCTGATAGGACTTGGTGAATGCACAGGCATTTTACGAGAACTGTGTTCCCACAGGAAGGTGGCGCACTCAGACGGGAGTGCACGATTGGATCAGCCCCATGCCTGCGACTGAGTGAGCATTTGTTTCGGTTTGATTTCCACCGGGAGACAAGTTCTGTTATCAACAATGCAGAATCAGCACTTTCGCCTCGGGAAGGGCCCCACGGAATCGCTTATCTGTCCTGAAGTCCTACAGATGGGAAAGCTGTGGGGCAGATGGGCAGGGATTTGACTGAGAGCACACAGCTTGCTATGGCTCAGGGAGAAGCAGAAACTTGGCTGCTGCTCCTTGCAATCCAGTTTTCTTTTCAAACCCACCCGCCAGGCCCCCCCCCCAAGAAAAAACACCGAATCATTGGTTGCCATCACAGACAGGGGCCACTGGCTGCTTGGGAGCATGGAGGGGAGGCTACTTTGAACACTCCTCGTCCTCTACAGAGGCACAGGAACGGAACTGAGGCCAGGGCCATCTTTTGACTCATCTGAACATTTTTGTAAATTCATCCTGTGTTTTGAATAAAGTCTCGGGGGACTATGTGTGGTTCCATTCTCAGAGCACACTCTGCTTGTGCTTATCACATCCCTGGCTGTGCGTTTGAATCTGTGCCTCTTTGTGGAACTATCAGTATGGTTTATATGATGGGAGCTCTAGCAGTTGCCTCAGTGAGGCGTTGGGAAGCCGGAAACGATTAATCTGGACCTTTGCCCTCTGGAAACTCAGTCTGGTGGCGCGAAAAGACATGTACAGAATTGTCATATTTGGGCTTTGGTTTCTCCCTCCTTAGATGCATTAGCCTGTTACTGTTTCATGGATATTGGTGGAAGACACAAGACTTGGCAAGAGGCAAAGGACGTTATTACTCACGGTGAAGCAGCCAGCATGAGCAGCAGCATATGGAACAGTTCCATGAACCCCCCAGTCCCATGGGCCTGCACGCAGCAGGTGTGCACTGCGGTTGAGGAGCACTGAGCTTAGGGGATCCACCTCTTTTATAACAGGTAGTAAGCAAGCTTGCTTTGTCCTAGGGGGGATACAAGTTTCCTTGCTGCAAACACAACCCCCAGAAATGGCCTGGGGACCGGACAATCCAGGCTTTGCATGCTTGTCAAACCCAGCAGGAAGTGCAGGAGCAGGAGCCGCAGAGGGGAGCGCCTCAGGGGGCACCAGCCTCACAGAGCTGCTGGGAAGATGAAAGAAGTGAAAATGGGCAAGTGCCACCAACAGCGCTCTGCACACATCCACTATTGTTACTAGGGGTGGCAATGTGGAAAAAGGCAGGGCTGAAAACTGCATCACTTACATCCAAAATGGAAAGCAGTAACTCAACAAACACACTGAATGCTTACTAAGTGGCAGGCTCTGGAGATACAGCAGCCAACAGAACAAAGTGACCTCCAGATGCGTACATTTTAGTACAGACAGGCAGACACCAAATAAACTCCCAGGGGAGCGCATTGTACAGGGCCTTGTAGACCAAAATAAGGACTTGGAACTGGCTACGGGACGGGACGCCAAAGGAAGTTTGCACAAAAGCACGTCACAGTTTGACTGAGCAAGCTTTGGTGATGGAGTGCTGTAGGAGGATAGGTAGAGGCAAGGAGACCAGTTTGGGGGATGAGATGAGACTGGGCAAGGACATGCCAGCTTGGAGTGGGCAGTGGTGGTGAGGTACTCACCCACTTTGGCCTGTCACAGTACAACACACAAGGGAAAGAGCCTTGGGAACACTAGACAGTCATGCGAGTGGACTGAGCAGCGTCTGCTACCTGTCATCCTCAGGGGCTGCTTCCAGGTAGTGGAGGTAGAAGCAGGCAGCTGCAAGGTGAAGACCAAGTAACTGGAATGGGCCAGCAGAAACTGATTTCAGAAGTTTGCCACAAGAGAAGTAACTTAGGTCCGGGCAGGTGGCTCATGCCTTTAATTCCAGCACTTTGGGAGATCAAGACAGGTGAATCCTTGAGGTCAGGAGTTTGAGGCCAGCCTGGCCAACATGATGAAACCCTGTCTCTACTAAAAATACAAAAATTAGCCAGGCTTGGTGGTGCAGGCCCATAATCCTGGCTACTCGGGAGGCTGAGGCAGAATTGCTTGAATCTGGGAGGTGGAGATTGCAGTGCATCAGGACAGCGCCACTACACTGGAGCCCAGGCAACAGAGTGAGATGCCGTCTCAACAAAACAAAACAAACCCCACCAAATTAAAAAAAATAAAACAATAAAAAGAGGAATAACTTGAGATTTTTCCATTTTTCTTTTTAACTAAGATTTAAGCATGCTTAAGAGCCTAAGGGACTATTGAGAGGAAGAGGTTAACCAGGCAAGGGAAGAAACGGAAGCGGTGCACGGAGCAGGTGGGAAAGGCTGGGATGCAGATCACATGTGTGGGGTTCACGGTGATGTGAAGAATGCCTGTATTAGAACAAGAGAGAAGGGGAAAGCCACCCTGGGTGAAATGCAAGTAGGTTTATCGATCTGGTAGCAAAAATTCATTCAGAGACAGTGTGTCTGACAGGCTCCATGTTCTCTGTGAAATAGGAAGCATGATGATCTCGTATGGTGAAGTAAAGGGAGTTAGAGATGTATGGATTATGGAGAATTTCAGGGATTTGGGAATTATTGGCTCAGAAACCAAATACAGCAAGGGATGGGTGAAAAGCACAGGTAACAAAGGAAAGAGGTCAGGAGTGGTGGTTCACGGCTGTAACGCCAGCACTTTGGGAGGCTGAAGTGGAAGTATCACTTGAGGCCAGGAGTTTGAGACCAGCCTGGGCAACATAGTGAAGCCCCATCTCTACAAAAAATTTAAAGAACAGTTGGGTGTGGTGGCGCATGCCTGTAGTTCCAGCTTCTTGGGAGGCTGAGGTGGGAGGATTGCTTGAGTCCAGGAGTTTGAGGCTAGTGGGCTGTGATCATACCACTGCACTCCAGCCTGGGCAATGCAGTGAGACCCTGTCTTAAGGGGGGAAAAAAAGAAAAAGGAAGGAAAGGGCTAGGCAAGACATATTTTCTATGGCTGAACAAAAAGCAAGGGAGCCTGGGTGGCAGCAGGAGAGCCAGGGGCAGCAAGAACAGAAGCGGCAAGGCAGAGAAATGACACCTGGACAAGGTCAAGTGGTGCGATAGCCCCTAGCAAGTACAATGTCTGAGGTACAGTAAAGGCAGCAGCTGAGTCTAGGGGAGGGTGGACGGTGAGGAAGTGAAGCTGGAAGATTTCAGAAGTAGAAGCACAACATCAGCTTTCGGACAGACTGGAGTTCAGCAGCGGGGGAAGCTGAGAGCAGCTGACACAAGCCCAGCCGCTGGCCTCCCTCACCTTCTGGCTGACCAGCATTTGTAGCCTCACCTCGGGACGCAGTTTTCCTTCTCGCTTTTCCCTCCAAGTTGTATCTCTGGAGCCTCAGGCAGAGGCAACAGAACAAGATCAATCCACACAGGCAAAGAATGGTGTTTCTCTCTTTTATTTAAAAACAGTGCTTCATTACCATATGCAAAGGCTGAGGCAGTGCTCCTCCTTTGCTTAGAGTTTATAAAAGCCAGCAACATGATCAATAATTTATACACATGGAGAGTAATACAAAAAAATAAGGAATAAAAGCTAAAGATCTAACTACTCCGAACTTCACAATTCCAGCTACTTGATAATAATAGGAGTAACCCAATGAATACTGTATGGTCTGAAAGCTACTATACAATATGATTCTTAACGAGAAGGGAAGGGAATTCGAGACTGTCACAAAGCCCTGGGGTGCTTCTCTGGAGTTAGCAGGGAAACAGGACCCTGGGCAAGCAGCTCGGGTGTCCTAGGAAGTGATTCTGGGGGAGGTCGGGAGGGGAGAGAGAAGGCTAGGTGGTCGATTACATAAGCATCCCATGTAATGCCCCATGCCCCAAAGGTACCTGTTTTGCCATGGCAATGGGAGGGGCTGAGGAACAGCATGTTGCATGTAGGGATGGTCCGGTCCCTGCCATGGGGAGTAGGGAGAAGAGGAGAGGTTCTGTGGCATTTTGAGCCTTGCAAAGATTTGGACTGAAAAGCTCAGAGACTCAGGTAGGTCAGCCTGTCAGGGACAAGTACACTCCACCGGCTCTCTTCTCACTTTGCAGCCCTAGCTTACGTGTGTCAGCCCCAGGTTTGCTCCAGCTATTCACAAGCAGAATATAACACAAGAAAAACAATTCATACCCCTTAGGGAAAAAAAGAGAATCAATTCATCACTCGATATATAATACAGCCAAAATGAGCTGCCAAAACAAGCACACACACAAATACTGTGAACAGAAAAACACAAGAAAATGACTAAGCTGGGAGTCTTGATGGGGTATAGACATTGCTTAAAGCACTTATTAGGCCCCAGAAAAACCAAACCAAAAAACATTTTTTAAAAATTCAAAAACTCATGTACCCCCTGGGAAACTGGTGTTGGTAACAAAGGGCAGGGGGTAGGGAGAGAAAAGAGAATCACTGTTCCCTTCTTGCTCGCCAGTGTGAGTGGAGTCCTCAAGTCATGGGCATGTACACGACTACCAGACAAGGAGGACCAAGTCCCTCTGCTGGTGGCCTCCTAAGAGGCAGGGCTTGAGTTTTGGCTGATGAGCGGTTCTCTCCGTTACCAATCCCTGCCAACCAGCACTACCATGGCTGAACTGATCTACCGTTTTCCTGAGTAAACTGTAACTGGCTACAGTTTCGGTAACAAGGATAAGAACTCAGCTACTACAGCCAACTGCAATACTTCAGGAATCCCCTCCATTCCTGGGCTCCTCACTCCTAGTGCATCTGATTGAGGAATCTGATAATTTGCTGCAGTCTGGTCTGTAAGCCTTATTTGCAAAGAAAGGTGCCAGGGACTCTACTGCTCTCACTAAACCAGAGGGCACACGCTGGCTTAGGACACCCAGAGCCTACTTGGAAAGGGCCCTGTTTCATGCTCCAGCTCTTGCATGGCTATTGCCTGGCTGATCAGTAAAGCAAGTATAAAGGAAGTACACAGGAAAAGCAAAGGGAGGGAAGAGGCTTTTGGACAGCAACATTTCCAAAAATATATAGTGTTTTATGCAACAGAGAATCAAGTTTCACTGTGTATACTACAAATGGTCAAACATTTTCAAGAGCATGACAAAATAAAAACACACAAATTTACGTCTGATGTTCACCTTGCCCACTATTTTTTTCCTATCTTAAAACAGTGCAAACAGGTTAACTTATGCTTTTAAAACACCACGACCCCTTCCCCACCCCCACCCCCAAAGTCCCTTTCCTCCTAGTATCTGGGGGAAAAATCTGCAATTCTGCAAATGTTACTGTGCTAGAGGGTTGCAAGCAGCAGAGAACTGGCTGAACTTGGCAAAAGGGGAAAGCTCATCAAAGTTTCCCCTTTTCCCTCCTTAAACATCTAAGTGCTTTCCAGTCTGTCCTTGGTTGACCTTGCTCTCCCCGAGAGGGAAGGCTGTTCATCATGCCCTTCTCGCATATCCTTGGGGTTGCTTCCATCCCTGTGTGATGTCTCCCTCATGTCTGGAAGCTGTATAACTAGTTACAGGATGGCAGTGACTAACCCACTGATCTGCTTGTTCTCTAGTAAAGCATAATTCTAAACTAAGAGCAGTTCAGCCCCTGAGGAGTCACACATTTGAGGAAAAGCTGCTATCGGTGATTTCTATTGGCTAGATGTCCGCTAGCTTCCCTCAAACTAAGAGTTGTGCCCCAGTCCACTTCTTTCTCAAGGGAAAAAACAAAAACAGAAACAAAACAAAAAAACGCTGGCTCAATTCAGACTGTGGCTGTTGGAGGATGATGGTGATAGGTTTTGTTAAACCTGAGAGCCTGACAAATGGTGAATCACAATGGCTGATCTGAGTTAATATAGAAACTGAACTAAGTGACACAAGGAATTCTGGAAAATGCCTATGGGCAGCTCTCTGGGCTAAAAGAGGGACGTGAAGATAAAAGTTTTCACTAGAGGCCTCCTTTAGGAGCCCAGCTTCCAAGAGTATAGAAAGTGCAGGTCATGAACTACATACAGTAAAGCTGAAAAAGAATCATGGACGTACTGTGATTGAGCATTAAGTTTTCTGGAGTTATCAGCCAGCATCCTCTAACAAACTCATGAAATGCCAGACTCCTCTGACTCTCTTTCTTAATACAGTGAGAACCAGACTCACGAACAGACAAGCACTGCTGCTTTGAGAAACCTGCCTCTGATGAAGTTGACTGTATGGAGTCTCAAAATTCAAAAGGTGACCGGGAGCTTGACACTGTGAAGTCCAGATGCTTATAAGAGCCCCAATTTTTACTGTTGACACTGAAAACCAAAGACCCTTTTATGAAAAGCAGAACTGCATTTAGTCTTAGAAAAGGGAGCTGGAGGAAGCGGTGTTAAACACCATCCCTGGAAATGCAGCAGAACCCACTGGAAAGCCCAGTGCTTGCCTTCGGAGGCCTCAGCCAGAACCAGCTGAACTGAGATGCACTAAAGGTGCCTCAAGCTCAAGATTCCGCCTCCCTTAAAAGGTCTGTGGGAGCTACCTTCTCTACCTTTCCCATTATCCTTACCTCTTTCTAGGAAAAAAGAAGAGAAAAACTCTTAAACTCATTCTCCTATTCTCCCCTGCTATGGATACAACCATTTAGAATCTGGCCTAGTCTCCACTAAGTAAGTGGCTTGCCATCTTTTGGGAATGGTCCCTTTTTGATCATGACCCCAAATTTCTGTTCTTTTAGTCAGCTAAGTTCTCCCTCAAAGCGAAAGCAAAATCCTCCCTGCCCCCATTCCCTAGAACTGTGAAAGCCCTGCATCCCCTTCCCCCCTCCTCTAACTAAAATATTTATATACATACAACAAAAATTGTCTTAACAGCAACAAACCAAACTTTGGCTTGGGGTAGGGGGACCCTTAAAAATGGCCAATGGACCGGGCAGTTGGTGTCCCCTTATTCTCTATATTCCTCCCCAGAATCAGTAATAATTGCATCGAGGCCTCTAGCTTCCTTGATGTCGCCCCTAGTTTCAGGCACAGCCTCTCTCCCAGTTATGAGGCGAAACAGGATTCTTAAGGGGGAAAGGATATGCATTATACACGACAGGCCAATGCCCTCTCAGATACATCACTCTGTTTCCAAAGAATGCTTGATGCTGTCATAGGTCAGTCATTTTAATTCAGGGACATGAGTCAGTTATCAGTCAAGAACATGTGTGGAGGCAGGAGTTAAAAAACAAACCAAAAGCAAACCCATAACAAACCAGAAGCTCCATGTCTCTGAATTACTCCCTTTAGCAGCTGTCCCTTGGGTGAAAGGTCACCCTAGTACCAATGTGAATAGACCAGGGAGCCAAAAAGACCGTGTTTTTCTATTTCCTAATGCCTTCATTTTGGAAATGCTGTAGGACACTTGCTTTTATCAGTTATATCTAATAGCTAGAAGAGAAACACTTTCTCTCCTACCTTAATAATATAGAAAATTATAGCCAGACAGCAATGGCAGTGACTCACTGCCGCTGCCACTGCATGACTCTTTCTGGCAATACAGAAGACCCTTGCCATTTCAGACCCTCATTCCAACATAGGAGGGCAGCAATCTCAGGGGCTACACATTTTATGTCCTGTAGTGTTAATGTATACAAAGTGGTTCAGGTGCTCAGCCGGGTGTCTTTGGAGGACAGTGAGAAGCTTGGCGGGATAGCCACAGCAGGGCTCAAGACTGTGGATAGAGAAGTGACTCATAAAGGCTCTGGGAGATGAAAATTCCTATGGCTTCGGAGCACGTACAAAGTGCCTCTGCCTGCCCTTGCATGTCCTAATCACCAAAACTTCCAGGGACTGCTGACCTAGGACCTGGTACTCCACCTTTCCCCAGCAGATTTTTTATTCTATTTTTAAACTTTGTACTTTCTGAGGCAAAAAAAAAAAAAGGAAGAAATATCAGATCTTCAAATATTCCTTTTCTCTTCCATGCCCTCTTTAATGGCTGTGAACAATTTGTATGTCTAATCTTCAAGCTGTGCCCAGACATCTGGGGGAAATCTGGTCACTGGCTTATTCATTTTTCTGTCCCTGGGTCCTAAATTCCTGAATCTTATGGACATGAGAGCAGGGTATTAATAAAAGAATAGATGAGCTAAGCTGTGGTTCAATTAAAGGAGAAGAAGTCCAGAAGGGATGCCAGGTTACAGAACAAAAATAAATGATCTTTTCACACTCCAGAGTTCATTCTGAGATTGGTTTCCTAATGAGGTGTTTATTATCCACAGTCTGAGAGCACGTTTGGAAATATCAATACTATAATTCCAAAAACTATGTCAACTGTCTCAGGCTGTTCATGTAAGATGATTGTAAAAAGAATGGAGAAGACAGGAGGGAAGAGGAGAGGAAAGCGTCTTTTTAATTCCCCTGCTTTATAAGCACAAATTCCTATCTATCAGCATGTGGATTCCAGCCACGGCCAACCAGAATTGCCTGTCAAAGACCAGAAACTCAGAAGACTAGAAGAATATCCTGTTGCAGAAATATCTCTTCCACTTCTGCTTGTCCCCCAGCCATTCAGCACCAGATACACTTTGGTAATTCTGCCTGCTGATTTCTGATCAGATGCATTTATCAGCTCCTAATGTCTCTCCTTCCTCTTTGACTGCCTCTTCCATGATTGACAGAATAAGCTAAGCACGGACATACAGACATGGAAATGCATTATTATTATTTTTTTTTACCACAGTTTAAAAAAAAAAGAAAAAAGAAAAAAATGCACAATCTTTGGAACAAAAGAATTAAAGGCAGAAATTTAAAGGAAAAATACATATTCAAAGAACATAGTGAGGTATAAAAAGTATTCTTTCTTTTTTTGTGTGTTTTTTTGTTTGTTTGTTTTTCCTCTTCATCTTGCTATAGAGTTCCTCTACTAGTAAATATTGCAATAGCCAGGCCTCATGAACTGGGGGGCTGTCCCATTTGCAGGGGTCTCACGTCACTTCAGTAGGGGGCAAATCGGCTGTAGCCACCTCGGTATAAACTCGCCTGTAGTAATCAAAAACATAACAACAATTAAAAGGTTGATGAGAGAACCATTTAAAGTGAAAAGAAATGTTCAGAGAAGGGATCTGGAAACACAACCCCCTCTGAAGCCTCAAAGCAACTCATCAAGCATTGCCTTGTGCAGTGAGTCAGGACACTAACTTCTGCCTCTAAGGTGCTCAAACCAGGGCCCAACATATTTATTGCTGACCTGATATTCTCAAGGAGAGTATGATGACATTTTATTTCATGATTTACATGAATTAGCACAGAAGAGAAACAATACACATCATCAGTTTCTGGTTCTCCCATATGACTCACAGGCAGTGCATGTCACTTCTGACAATCTCTGCCATGTGTGGTCACAGCCCACGTTTAAGCTGGTGCTGCATCTAGACCTGATTCAGTCTTTAGTAACGTCTATTTCCTCTATCATCTACAAAGCACACCAACTAGGCTATTTCGTGACACAGTCACATTTATATATATATATATATGACTTTATCTAACGGCTTATCTCTTTCAGTTAGAAGTTTGGCCAGGAATGTATCATTCTCAGGCCATTCTTTTAGCATAGGACTTACATTATTTTAGGATGAAAGAAAACCTCAGGAACTTCCACCACTGTCTTTATAATGTAATGCTCTACTTCACTTACAAACACATATTCACTCAGGACCCCCTATTACTTCCTTCTGCAAATCTTCATCAGTAGAAATCTGGTGTGGGAAGTGCCTTTCTCATATTCCTGTAGGTCTTACATTTTACACTTCATTCTGTCTCCTTTTCAAACAACTTTGCCCATATTCAGAGGTAGCTGCCCAGCTGCATTTTGGATTAGAGAGCAAGCCTGGCATGCGGAGGTGTCGCTGTGGAATGGCTTTTCTTTGTTGCAGCCTGTGAACCCTAATCACTGAAACTGGAGGCACGCAAGCCAACATAATAATACTGCAGTCAGGATGTTGGTCAGAAGAAATTATGCTACTTCTACAGACTTCTTTGATACCTCTCTCAAAAACACTGTATTTTGCCACAGTTGTTATCAATAATCAATAATTGGTAATAAAATATGCTCACAAAGCATTCACTTGGCAATTTCTAGTACTACCTACCAGAGGTTTAGGAATAGCAGGGACAACTTTTAGATTTGTATTTTAAACAAGTTTTTGAAAAGCTTACTGTGAAAACTAGAGAGCCTTATGCTCCATGCTCCTTTGCCAACATCTATCAATGAAATTATGCCACAGGTATGCACCCAACATTTGAACCAACAGAAAACATTCACCAGTTCCCTTATTTCTCTAACAAATGGTGCCACTACTCGGGGCACACTATCCCTGATCATTCCTTTCTGCTGCCCTTAACCAGGCCATGTGGCTCACATTATAATAACACACAAATAAAGAGGGTGACATGAAACTTCCAGGTAGATCTGAGTGGCTTTAATACCCTGACAGTGGATGAAAGGCTGAATTTACTACCTTCCTTTTGTAGTCTATGGGTAAAAGAAGGAATAAAATGGTTTTCTAAAACAATGGTGCATACACTTACCACAGCGCCAACTCCATAGCTAGCGGCAGGGGCAAGGGCATGGTAGGGGTCGGCTGTGTACACCCTGCCATAACTGGAAAGAAGAAACACAATCAGACAGATAAAGAAAAGTGTGTGATCTAAAAAAATTAAAGAGATTACCGTGCTAAAGACTGTGAGCCACTTTGGTCTTGGATTATCACAAAGAAACTGGAATTATGAGGAACAGAAAAAACCTTTCTACTTCTATTCCCGAATACAATAACTGAAAAATTCTTAAGTACTTCCACAAAATGGAAAAGAAAGGAGTTCGAGATGAGGAAGAGAGAGACTGGAGTCAAAGCCAAATTAGAGATGAGAACAAGAAAGAGGGAGTGAAGTATAGAGTCAGTGCCTTGTGCTTTGGGCGTGACAGATGCCATCAAGAGGTCTGCAGAAAGCCCAGGCTGGCAAGATGCCTAATGTGCTAAGAGCTGCTGTGGAAACAGTAAAGGGAGGAAAATGGGCGACATTTTGGGATGGAGCAGCTCTCATGCATCCCAGAGCTCACCTCTGTCTCTGTACATACCCGTCGCTGTAAGCTGCGGCAGCGGCTGCAGCAGCGGTGGCTGCGGTTGCAGTAGCAGGCTGTGCATATCTGTAGGCTGCATATCCACCCTACAGGAGAAAAGAGAACTGACTTTACAGATACCTCTCCCCCCCAGGTGTACAGAAAAACACACACCCGCCCACACACAGACGTACATACACGAAGACGCAGAGACTGACACAAACACAGACACACACGGGAAGAAAATGTTTCAAACTGCATCAGTCTGCATGTTATTATTCCTCCAATAAAAAATTAAGCCCTGTGATATGCAAGGATTTGCTTTCCAATTTGTGATAGTATTAAAAATAAACTTTGGTAGTACCTGTAAAACACCAGACATGAAGATATCATTTTGGATCTGTTTTACTTTACAGACTTTGTTGGAACTTTCCAAAGTGAAAACATTTACAGCAAATTGGGAGAACTCTGACAAGAAATATAAATTATAAATTTAAAACACATTAAATCTCCATGTGCTGACTTCGGATTCTCTAATGCGTTCTTGGATTGATTCATTAGTAACAGACTACAGCATATAACAGAAACCTCTGCTCCATCCGGCCTAGCATGTCTGCCAAGAAGCTAAGATAATCAGGTCATATTTAGAAGGAAAAACAATGTAGATCAGGGGTCAGTAGACTTTGGCCTGTGAGCCAATGCAGCTTGCCACCTGTATTTGAAAGTACTTGTAACAGAGACCAATGTCCTACGAAGCCAAAAATATTTACCACCTGGCCCTTTACAGAAAGTCTGCCAACTCAGATCTACACTTCATACTTGAACAAATTGGTTACAAATTTCTGAGGATTCTTTGGCTGGATTCAAATAGACCAGGAACCGTGCTTCTAGAATTTAAACTGCATTTCCCTTCCCTAAAAGGTTTGAGATTCTTACATACTAATCTTACAGCGGACTTTGAGCTTTTCTTCCAATGGTCCAAATATCTCAGTCCTAAAGAATTTCTAACCACCAAAACCATCACATCCTTCTATTTCACCTCACTTTAGACAACCCAAATACACAAAAGGTTTTCACTATCAAGGTGAACCATGCACTCTTTCACAAAGTATTTCAGAGACAATCACAACAAATGCTTGCCACATGAGACAGGATATTTTAAAAAGTGGCAAACTCTATTTTTTACTATGTTTCTTTACCCTTCTAGAATTCATCTATTTTACCTAAACCTAATTCAGATGCAAATTTTTATTATGGCCTTTCACTATCAAAAACAACTAAGTTCAATTGACCCAACTGGACATGAGTTCAGCAGTGAACAACAGCATGAACATTTTATTTCTGTGGATAAAATGTGCCCATTTCTCATAAATACCTGAAAGGTTTTTGCCCTGTGCTTTCTACTTTCTAGTTTTTCAAATTTTTGATTTTCTCTAAATCTACAAAATAAATTTCTAATTTACTTCTGTATCATTTCTTGGGATTGAGATAATGGGATCCCTGTTCTTCTTAGCCATCTTACTTACATGGCAGGTCCTAGCTTGCTTCTTTTATTTCTGTTACACCTTATTTTAGAAATACCTGTAATTTCTTATGAGCTTCTGTAGACTTTTGCTTCTTTCTAATTTGTGCTTTCTCTAAATGAAGAAACTGCACTGTGAGAGGACACTTACTCCTGCTCTTCAAGTTTATGCTGCTTGAAGTCAGGATGGTCTCAAATGTACTTAAAAAAATCCCCGACTGGCTTTCAGTGATTATACATTATTCCTCATTTGTTTTTCAAGTGAGCGACTTAGAAAGTAAACATTTCCTTCTTAATTACAAATTCTTCTACAGGTCTATTCTTCTACAGGTCTTTGGTAATATAATTAATATTACCAAACACTGACGATGAAATGGTAACGAATGTGAAAATGGCATAAAAGCACCCTTGGGGGCCGTTTCTGGTCAACATGGTTCCTTGGAATTCTAGCCAGGTCTATGGAAATGGACAGGCTAGACAGATCTGGGCAAAGCCATACATCCTGGCCACAACATAATTTAATTAACTAAAGTATGTCTTTACCTTACTTTTTTTTAAGCATCTAAAACAGGAAATGAAGCAGTAAAAGCATTTGTTAAACAAAGCAAATGTTAATTACAGTTGGAATTTTAACACTAAAATAAACCCTAGTAATTTTTCATTATACCTAGAGATGGCTCCATTCATTTAGAATTCGTTTGCTAGTGTAACTTTACAGCAGGGCTATTTAGTAAAACTTCTTTGCAAACAGGGTAATTCAGCATTATACTCTTTAGTACTACTTCAAACATCAAAGTATCAAAAATTTGTAAAAGTTAAAGCAATAAAAGCAGTGAAAGCCCAATTCATGTTTACCTAAGTAAAAAAATTACAAATTGAAGTCTTATGCCATATGGCAGAGGTATAAATTCTTGCAAAGGGATACTGAGGTTCAAAAGTACTCAGTCAAGGGTAGTCTTCACACCTGACTCCCAGGAAATCTGAGTGAAGTACTGGAGGTACAATCTTTGAGTACTCTATCATATCATAGCTTTGAGCTGTATTCTACTCATTCTGGAAAAAAGAGGTTCTAAGTGAGGTTGCTGACAGAACCAATTTCCCCTCATTTTCCTAGGCCTACAGTAAGCCATCAGAACCTCAGTGGTTTAGGAGTAATGCTATTGCTAACCAAAACAATTCAAATGGATCAGATTATGGAAAAGAATCCTCCTCCCAGTCCAGAAGGAGACAGAGAGACGCTATCTGTAGTGGTTTTCTTCTTTTATAACTGAACTCTGACTTTGAAGTTTAAATTTGATGAAGTTCTCTGCTTTTCATGTTGAAGAAAACAGAACAGCGTTGCAAACATTTTATTGAAAACAAAGAGCTCGAGAAGAATATCAGCATTAAGAAAAAACACATTAATAGTTTTTTTTAAAGCAGACGACTTCAACATGATTATTCTCCTAATTACTTTATAATAATGGCATTACAGAGAAACCTTTAAAAGGAGGACTATTTTAGGACAGACAGGCAATATCCTACTAAACAACTTGGTAATTCACTAATGACTACTCCAAAAGTAGAATAATTAATTGTGTATCATGGATGTATTCCCCCCCTTTCTCTCTCTCTCTCTCTCTCTCTCACACACACACACACACACACACGCACTCTTACTTGAAGAATTCTTCTTCTGCTTTAGTTATTCAACAAAACATATTATAAAATGTAAGACAAAAAATTCAGATATATTTATTTCTATTCTATATTTCAAAGTGCATAGAAATTTCAGGCTGAGAAACCGTTTTTTTGACTTTCACTCTTACTAGAAAATCTAAAGACTTTAATAAAACATGAGAACAAACTGCAGTTTGAAACACCAAGGTTTTCATTACTGTTTCTTAAGTTTTTCAAAAAGAACAAGGGTGGGAAGGAGGTAGGAAAGACAGGGTTCAGGCGTGGGGAGGGATATGGCGCCACATTTATTAATCACATTAAAAACTAAGCATGCCAACATCTGGAGCTAAAACAACCAGCAAAATCACCACGTTCAGACTCGTATTGGCTAACTCTATCTATCCCAGCATTCTCTTGGGACAGCGGTTTGCCCTAGGCTCTACCACAAGCTCGGTGAAGTACACAGCCTCAATTACTAGAGCGTGCAGCCACAACGACCTGGTATTACGGAAACAGTCAGTCACCACTTGAGTTAACATTCCATACCCTAACGACTGGCCCCTCCCCAGCCCAAAGAAATAGTAAATCTTGCCCACCCTAGCCCTGGCCCACACCACAATGTTAATAATTATAACAAGCAGTAACCCATCTGTTATATCAGAGAAGGGAACAGAGACTCCACTGAGAGATTTAGAGTGAGATGTTAACATTTCTTCAGCTGACTGCACAAACAAACAAACAAAAAAAGAGGAGAAATAATTCATTTGGAGATATGAAGTCATGAAATAGCTGATGTGTATTGCTTTTAACCATGCACTGATGCAAAACTGAAGCAACCATTAATAATAAAAATTAAAAAGGACATATGTATTTACACACAATCAGACCTGTTTGATCTGAAGCAGTTTGCAGATTCTATCTGTGTGTGATTTGAAATAAAACAAAAAATGGGGATTAGCATGGCCACAGCACACCCTAATGTAGGAGGGCACACATGGACGGTTTTTTGGAACTCTGATAGCTGGATAAATTTGGCTTGGCTAAGCTTGATTCAAATACATACATGCCCCTTTAAAAAGAATTCTTCTTATTCCTTTGCAATTCATTCTGAATGACTCCTGGAGTCCCCAGTGGGGCCGCCCAATGCTCCATCACTCCCCTATTCAACCTGCCTGACACTGGCAATATAATACAGTTCTAATGCACAGCACTCACATGTATGCTCGCCCTCTGTCAACAGTCGTATATTCTAATCCATAGCATTCTTCTAAAATATTTCCTGTGTTTAGGAACTGTATTTTTTCGCCTATCTGTAATATGTCTCTGAGTTCCACTTCCAGTTTCTTCAAAGGAAAATGCCTCTGAAAAGTTGACTTTAAGATCATTTCCACAGTGTTTTCTGCAGTTTTTAAAGTCTCAGTTTTTCATGGCTCAATGTCATCTCCTAGGAATTTTCTACTCTGCTCTGAACCAATCTTATTATTTAATTAACTTTATGATGTTGCCACGTTGACCACATGATCTTTTGGCACAGTTCTGTAGCTGTCTTTTAATCTAGAGCAAAACAGAATAGAATAGAATCCCCCCCCATATCTGACCTTTATCTGCATATTTATTAGCTTAATCTCACACTAGGTAAGACTTTTGCTTTGTCTTGATTTTAACCTAGCCCTTAATTTTATTTTTGTTTAAAGTTTACATTAAAACAGGACTTTGGTGAGCATGTGATGTCAAGACACCTTCTTTCTACCCAGAAGACAATGACATTATGTGACACTGAGGAGGAGAGTGTGTTTTTCAAGACCGGCAGACAAAATGAAAGCTTGTTACCTGCATGTAGTGTATAGATCAAGAGAGCAGGAGGGTTGGGGGATGGGGGGTAAGGAATGGCAGGTGTGATGCTTAAAATCACTACAGCAGAGCAGAGATCTATTCCAACTAGCGTGGATGTTTAATGCTAGGCCTCCAGGAATCACTTTATTTATCCTTGGATGATTCTAACTCCCTCTTTTTCCTCACCATCTCCCCAGCCCTGCTGAGAAACATGGTTCCAGGAGATACAGAGTTATTCTGTGGCAAAATGGCATCACTGATGAAATGTGAGTAACACGGAAACTTACAATAATGGTGATACTGTCACTGCTTTTGACTGAGGTCTATCTCCTTTGAAACGTACTTACAAAAAAATTTTAAAGTATTTAAATTTTATCTTATTATTATTTAAAACTGGGGTTAAGGGAAAAAACTGCTATGATCAACTTGATAGATTCCTATTATTTCTATGGTAGATGAGAGATGATTTTCAATAAATCAAACCTTTCAAATATTATTATTCCACATCTCCCCAAATTAGTTCATTTCCAAAATCTTGCTAGGTAGTCACATAAATAAACTGAATTGTGAAAAGCCATCGACTATTTTCTCTCTCCTAGCATCCAGCTATCAGCAATCTTTCTAACAAGTGTGCTACTATCCAAATGAAATCACTGATCTTCTCGGGTGAAAGGAGAAGAGGGCAAGGGAAATGCATGTCTCAATTTTTGAGTCCTTTAAGTCTAGATTTTTAAGGCAACTTTAAACTTACGTAGCACCACAGCCTAACTACTTCACTACAGGGCCCAAAGTGGGATTCAGGAATCCTATTTGTACAGTTTGACTTCCTCTTTTTTCTCTTTTCTAAATTTATAGTAGTGAGAAAATGTCCCCAACTGCTAAGATATAAATATAAAAAAACAGTTTAAATAACACAGGTAAATGTGACTGACAAATTAAAAGATGTGGCAGTGATGGGACAGTGCATAGTATACACCTGGCTGGGATATGTGTCAAGAGGACAGGAGCACTTAATTTTGGAGGAAGTGCCATTATGTACGGAATGTGACTGTGTGCACTGCTGAGGTAGCAGGGCTTAGATCACACGCTCACAAGTCTTGATTGTCCAAAAAAGCCTCTGTTCCCATCTCTAACGTGGAGCTGGAATGGTTAGTATAATTCAATTTTTTCACTGCAATCCACAATCTGATTGATTGGCAGGTCACACTGGCACTCCTACCTGAGGTATTTTAGCGCTAATGATTGGTTCCTGTAAGACTATTCTATAACAGAACACAGGAAGAGCAGTTCAAAAAACACAGCTGTGGAAGGAAAACAATCATACAAAAAGCCCGCTAAGGGGCCCACCAGCCTTTTCTTTCCTTTGGATGCAAGCATGCTTTTCACAGGAGGTGAATTAGGAGCAGTTTGTTATCCCATTTAAAAAGTGAATTAGGGCAAACTATGCCTTTTCTCTTGGTCAGAAAGGAAGAGGGAGGGATGGATACATAATCTAGCTGCCACACTCCCAGATCCTATCACGGTAGGTCTCTTTACAAACTAGGAACACAATTGCCAGATCAGTTCTCCAGAGAGGAATGTGCCATAAAAGAAACAGAAAGAAAATGGCTAGCAGGAATCACTGTCTAAGAATGGAACAGTGAAAGAGATTACAAAAACCTTGCAAAATTAATAGCCTAAATTAATTTTACTTAAGCAAAAACAGCAATTTAAAATCTTCAAGCTCCGATTCAGTGCATTTTTTATGCTAAACTCTCTATTCCTTCTGTTTCTAATATGCCTTTCAGAGGAAATAAGAACTAAATGTATAGTGACAGATTTCCACAGATGGGAAAATTTAAGGAGAGAAGCAGAACAAACTCAAGGCAAAATAATAGTTTTTTTGTTGTTTGTGTGTTTCTGAAGAAGTTCCTTTGCTCCCTCACATGTGGAATAGAGAACACACAGGTTTAAAAGCAAGTTATATTAGGCCTACCTCAGTAGTTACCTTATAATGTATTCTCGCTTTTCATGTTTAGGCGTGGATATTATTTCAGCACTAGTGACCAACTTTTTTCTCTAAATAACTCTGCTTTAAGATAGGAATTAAGAAATAATAACATTACTCTTAATTACTTTCATTAACAAGGGGACACTGATTCAAAAAAATTATTTCAGCAAGAAACACTCAATTACTTGTGTTTAGCTCAGTAAGGTAATCCAGTTAGTAGATTAAAAAAAAATCAAGAGTATTTTATTAACAGGTGCAGAAAAATCATGTCTCAATAAAATCTTACATTGTGAAGTAAGGAAATGAGAGAACTATTTAAAAAAATTGGTTGACTGACTTAACAAGGTTGAAGTGGACAACTCTTTTGTTTTTTTTTTCCCCTGAGATGTAGTCTAGCTGTTTCCCAGGCTGGAGTGCAGTGGTGCAATCTTGGCTCACTGCAACCTCTGCCTCCAGGGTTCAAGTGATTCTCCTGCCTTGGCCCAAGCAGCTGAAACTACAAGTATATACCACCACACCTGGCTAATTTTTGTATTTTTAATAGAGATGGGGTTTTACCATGTTGGTCAGGCTGGTCTCAAACTCCTGACCTCAACTGCCTGCCTCGGCCTCCCAAATTGCTGGGATTACACATGTGAGCCACCATGCCTGGCCAAAGTAGGCAAGTCTTAATAAAATATAAACAGGTTGTATTTAAGAAAAAAATATCCAAATAAGAAAGATATTAGAGAAAAAAATTTGATTTAAGAAATAATTCAAATGGAAAATCTTGCTCTAATAGACCAGATTTCAAGAAAACAAGTTAAATAACATAAAGATGAGTTTCATGAGAATATGGACACTAATGTACATGGGAGAATGTACATGCTAACATTGTATGTAAGTATGTGTATTTAGAAATGTATAATCTGGTATAGAAGCAGGATAGATTCCCCAGTTCTCAAGCTTCACTGTGAATGTAGGAAAAAAGGTATCTTTCATTACTTGTTGAAAATATTCTGAGGAAAGAGGTGGATTTTAATTAAAGTACAAGGAGAGGTAATGAAATATGGATTAGCTGGGTTTTAGGCCTGACTGAATTAATAATTTATGTAATTCTGGGTAAGCCTCTGAGAAATATATCTATACATGAAGGTTGGACCAAATCATGGCTAAGGTTCCTTCAAGTAGTTATTAAATTAAGGCCTTTATAGGCCTACACTAAGTAGTATGGGTAAGTCACCTGTACCTCGAAGAACTGTATTATTCCATCTCTACTTCCTACAAAAAATAAAACCTCTGAGTACATTCTGCAAGTACATTAACTTTTTTAGGTTGTGTGAGAATCTCTGGTAGACTGTGAAAACAGTTCACTAAAAAGGTTCTCTTACTGATTTTGGAAAGTAAGGGTGGAGAAAGCATTTCTAGACAATTTTAACCTATCCCCACAGAATCATTTCATGCTGATAAGTTTTTCTTATAAAAATTCTTTCCTGATGACTTAAGTGGTTAGATCAAGCTTGCATTCAGAAAAAGTCCACCTGAAGAGGTCATAATAAAAGACTTTAAGACTCAAAAACTTCAACTTTGTCAATTACTTTGTCCACATTTCAAATAACATGTGACAAACAATCATGGAACTTTAATAATAGCTAGACAGTTTAAATACGGCTAGTAGAATCAGCAAATCGATAGTCAAATGGCTGTAAGAAGAGTCTGGGTTGCTGATTATGCTACTCATTTCCCCCAGTGGCTCTTAAGAACTAAATGGGCATTTTCTCATTACTATACACTCTTCGCTGGCATCGGTTCCTTATTTCACTATCACAAGGACATGTTCTCTCAAAGTATGTAAAAGAGGAAAATGTACAGATCAGAAAGCTTATTAACCTCTACATAAATCAAAGCTCTAATGATCTAAAGAGCGATGTGAAATGAGAAGAAAAGCAGAAAAGGGAAAGAGCTGGTTTAAGGCTAAGCTAGTCCTGTTATTTATGTATGCAAATGACACGACAATAATAAAAGACTTTAAACCTGCTGATCATCTCACAAGTAAATTAATGATCCACAGAACATCTGTGGGGTATACGGAAGGGAAAAGAATATGTCCAGTAGACTGACACTAGCAATGATCAGGAAACCCAAAGGCTTAGTTTTTGCACCCAGGGGCAAGCGCAGTGGCAGAGAAGCATGCTTGCATTCTTAAATATATAAATATTTATATATATATATCCACAAGGAAAAAGAAAATTAAAATTAAATAAATTAAAAGGAAAAAATAAAACCAAACCAAAGAAACAGAAAAAAAAGGCTGGCTTGTCAGGGGATGGGGTCGAGAAGGCCCCAGTGTGTGTACTTACATAGAGGTCAGCACCGTAAAATCCGTCCTGGTAAACCACACTGCAGAAAATCCACACAAAAACAAAAACAAAAAAAAACAAAAGAACAGAAACACATTCCGGTTATTGAGGACGGCAGCATGCACATGCGCTCTACACAGGCAGGTGATGTATGAATACATAACCCGGGCTTGGGGCCTCAGCAAGTCAGTGAGAAAAATGTGAAAGTGCACACAAATGTTACACAGCTCCAGGACATGCGAGGAGAGGGAAAGGTGTGCAAAACTGGAATGTGCAATCCAGATATTCAGTAATTAAAGTAAGACTAACACAGTAAAAAACACTCCTAAAAGAGCCTATTATACCTATCTAAAATCTGCTGGCTTGGAAACAACTTTTTGTATGAGGAGTATTTTTTTTTTTTTATTTAAAAAGCTTGCCCTAGGAGGAAGTTTCCTTTTAAAGAGCTTACAAAGTAGGGTAGGGATGAAGAGGGATTTAACATGAAAAAACTGAACCCAAAGAATTCTACTAGGGCAGGGCCTGTATGCAAAGTATGTTTTAAAATTATGTTTAAGTATTTTGTTTTCAGTATTGTAATAATATGTAAATGTTTTTCTGATATCCATACATCACCTGCTTTTTACCCTGCACATTAGACATGCGATAAGATTTGGCTGATCACACAAGCATGCAAAGTATTATTATTCAGCATTTTAAGAACCAATGCAACACCTCAGAAAAACAAGTCAATCAATTCTGACCAAAGTAAACAGAGAAATGTAATTAAAAAAAAAAAAAAAACACAACCAAAAATACCCACAATGCATTGCTTTCACAAGCAGAGATAATGAGCTAAAGGTTAAGGTGATTGGTCCAAGGTCCAAGAATTGAAAGGTGCAGTGGGGATCCCAGATAGTAACAATATAATCCAGAGTGGGAAGGAGTAACTGGAAGATTTTAAGGGTTCTTTTTTGACTGTAAGAGTATTCATGGAATTCTGAAAAATACAATTGATAACTGAAGTTCTGGGCTTGACCAAAGAGCATCCTGTCTTATTTAAAATAATAAAACTGAGAAGGTAGCTGGTTAAGAATAGAAGGGTTTATTTTCCTGTTTAGAGAATGAATTTGTAGCAAACAGACAATCCATGGCTTAAAAAAAAAAAAAAACAACAAAAAAACCTAAGCAACACTATATTCTTAAACATAGATTTCCAAACTTTTGAGGTATTTTTGTGCACACAGACTTTCCCCAAAACATTATTTTGGGACCAAAAGACATGGAATAGCAGTAGAGATAAAAGATAAAACTTTCTTCTTCACATTTGTTAAGTCAAGATCAGGTTGTTTTAATTTAGACAATCTGTTCATTGATTATTCAACTAAAGAAGCTGGAAATTTTCACTCCTACCTTCTCGGTTACAATAAACAAGCTGGCAAGTAAAGTCATCAAATCATATTTTTAAGTTGAATGTAAAATAACTTGTTTCTTATAGGTAACTAGAATGTTTCTTAATTCTATTTCCAGTGACATTTGGTTATATTTTCAGGATAGTGTGGTCATATTTTGGAATGCCCCAAATATGCTATGCCCTTGTATCACACAACAGGCAAATCAGACTCATCTCTGATGTTTATTTAACTAAGTCCCTTCCATTTTCATAGTTTCCAGCTGCAGTTAAAGTCTGATATTAGAAAGTAATCTGCCTCCTAATTGCATTTTAGTGAAAAAAAGGCTTGTTCAAAATGAGAAGGCTGATAAAATAGAAAGCATTGAGACCAAGTGGTGATTAATTACACTTCAAAGATCTTAGTAAGGGGATACAGGCAAAGATTTACAAACATGCCTTCTATAAAGAAGTGCTGGCATTAAAAACACGAATACATGTATCCTAAGTCAAATCACTTACTGGGAATATTCATCTAAATTCTAGAAGAATTCCAATATTCCCTGTATCAAATGCCACAAGGAGGCTAGAACATAAGGATTAATGACGAAGTTAGTTTACTAAGCTGAAAAGCAATTCTAGGCCGTTCCCATGAAATACTGGACTTATTCCTTGCCATCTTCCATGTAAACAGTGCTTTAGTTAATAAAAAGAAAACATGGGAAATTAGTGTTCAATGTAATGCACAGAAGTTGACATGATTAGACATAAAGAGAAAATGTCTTTGAGTAAATATATATCTGACACAGACTTGGTAGATAATGGGTTCTCAAGTTTGGCCAATATACTGAAATGACTGTATTGAACAGGACTTAATTCAACCACTTTATAAAGTAATTCAGCAATGTTCCAAAATAAGAAGTCCCATATTTCTGGTGAGTAGACTCTCTGTGCAAATATGACAATAAACTCTCTTGGATTACCATGGAAGACATTTCACAAACAATTTTCCTAGTGTGTAAAGCTTCCAAAAGCTCGGTTTAATGTTTCATTTGAATATTTCTTAATAAAATAATATTGCATATTCACTTCTTTAAAGAGATGTCAGAGGTTGAAGGTCAAAGGTCAAGTTGAGAGAAAAAAGGATTAAAATAAAAGTAAGTAATGGCATAAGATGGAGATGATGGAATGCATGTGATTTAAATGTCTACAAACTCTAAACAGAAGTTAATTTCTGAAGCAGTTCCCTTCCAGTGTCTTTTGGAGCCTGCCTACTTCAACATACCTTGTCTAATAAAAATGTTTAAACTCTGTGGAACAGAGAACTTCTAATGGTACATCCATTTGGTCTATTAATCAATGAATGAGTGCTAAATTAGTACATCTCAAGGCTAAGCCAATTTTGCTGTCAGAAAAGGACATACAAAGGAGGCTCCTTCCCTTTATATTTTAACCAAGTAGCAGCCAATAAACTTCTCTGCAGCTACTTATTCCTCCACAAGAATACAAAAAAAAAAAAAAAAAAAAAAAATCTGTCATAGGCAGAGAAAAGATAAAGAGAAATGTCACATCTTTGATGAAGAAGTTCTTGGTACAACTGACTTCTGAAAGACCACTCTTCATAAAAATTTACATTTTAGGCTGACACTGAGAAACCACTAAAAACAGAACCTGCCATCTTCACTCCTTTTCCCCATCCAGTAACAAAGGATTTATTTGTTGCTATGGAATCATTCCACTGCATGAGACACCCTCCATAAAAAAATCAAATGGTGAAGGATGCTCAGCTACAGTCGTCGTTTTACCATCATTCAGAAGCCAACTGCAGTTTAACTCTTCCTACTTCTCCCTCTCTCCCTTGATTCAATTGGACTTGGTTCATCTTAGAATTAACCTCTTTTAATCCGTTTCCTACAAAGAAAGCAAATCCATTGTGGGTAACTAGTTCTGCTGCTCACCACCCAGGCAGTGAAACCAAAGGGGAGGACACATGTGACAGCCTCCGCCCCAACATGGGGTGGTAATAAGGGGGTGAACACAGCAGATGCAGGCTTGTACTACAATCTTGAGCTCCTCTTTTGGTTCTCTGCAGTAATGTTAATCCATATTCGTGCGCTGCTGAGTGAACTTCATGCCAACACACTGCTAGTAAACACAAGACGGTTCTGGCTACGGTCTTAAGCCATTAACATGAGGGCTTAAGGTGGCCAAAATGAAGACTTATATAATGAATTGACATTTTGTTACATTCAGATGATGGTATATTTTGGTTCTTGTCATCTAATCTGTTAATTTGCAAATACACTAAATGTCTACTATGTAACACGGCAACATCCCAGAAGTTATGAGAGGGCCATGGTATTCTTTTTTGGTTCAACTGTTTATTTTAGAAACATACTGATTTTGGAATCTAATGCTTACCCTGGATAGGCGGGGATGGCTGTTGGAGGCACCGCTCGGACTGCACCATATACTGTCCGCCCTCTGCCCCTCAAATGGGCTCCTCTGAAAGCGGCTGCCGTGGTGGCTGCAGTAGGGTAAGGGAAGCCAGGAACTAAAGGGAGACCCAAAATATGACAGAAATTTCAACTTGCATTCCTATTGAATACAGGATATACAGTCACAACTTTCTATGAACCAATTATAGAAAAGATATGAACCACATCTTTCTTGAAAAGGTGGCATGCATTCAATAAACCTCCTACCCTGGGTCTCTCAGTGGGCAAGAAATGGAAAGAGAGACCCAACATGCAAAAGCAAAAGATTCCATGCCTCATTCATCACAAATCTTGAGTGAGCGTTCTCTGTTCTTCTCAATTTCGGCTTTACAAGGCAAGTGAGAAACAGGTCTGGGAATGACTGCCATAACAAGAGACTTTTAATTACTGTGGGCAGTCTAAATCAGATTGACATAAACTCTTCAACCGGTCAGTTATTATTAACCTTGCTTCCAAACGTTAGTATGTGCACATAATAATTATTACTCAAAAAGAACATTATTTTTTTATTTTTACATGGCAACAACCTCCAAGGCACACAATAGTCTTTAGACATTTCATTTCATTAGTCAATTTCATTCTTTTATCTACAACATTTTAATCCACAAATGTAAGGTGAGGGAAACCACTCCTCCCCTGTCCTTAAAAGAGGCAGACAGTTTCTAAGGGCCTCATATCCAAAGAGGCAGACAATGTCTAAGAGCCTATTTTAAGTGTGCCGTCTTCTGGAAAGCATGCAGAGACACTGATTCCATGTCCACTGAATCCTGTTTAATTACACCTCTTGCTGGAGTAAAATGGCTCAGGTCAAAATGACTTTAGAGAGATCATGAGAGCTGAGAATAATCAGTAATGCTGGAGGTTATTTCTAAGTGATCCTCTGCTGGAGAACCTGTGGCTGACTTGCAGAGAAAATACGTAATATACTCTACACAGAATCGCTTCTTTTGTTTTCTTTATCATCAAGTACAGACTAAAATATTCTTCATATGCCCTTACCCCCTCTACCTATTGCAACTGTTTTTGCTTTGTATCAATCTTAATATTTGGTCAGGAAAATTCTAGCACAGGTTAAGCAGGACAGGGCACTGGGATAGTATTTAATATTCCTCTCAAGAAATTTTCATTTCAGTTATGTATTGTACCAGGAAACAAACAAAAAAACAAAAAAACCAGCACATGACAGTTCATTCACTACAGTGAAAATCCATGCCAGACCAACATAGGCTACTTACTGATTAAAGGAATGTAAGTGTTGATACCCCCTCTTCCTGACAGGGGCACTGCTGCATCATTGCCTAGAGATACATCTGCTTGAAAGCTGGATGCTGATTGCATTTAAAAAAAAAAGTTAAAAATGAAAAAAGATTAAAAAAGGAATAGCTAATTGAAAAACAACAGATGCTATTACAATCAAATAGCACAAATGGAAACATTAACTTAAATGCTACCTGCATATAACTCTGGACCATATACAGCTCCAACTACTGGGCTTAATTTCCAACCTGTAACACACAAAAAGGAAAGTGAGCATTTAAGACTACTTGAGGAAAGGAATGATTAATGCATGGCAAGTTGGCTTCAGCCATGGCTGGGGCTATTTTTGCCTATTACCAACTTCTCTTTAGATTTCCAGCTTAGGGTTTATATGAGAGAGTAACAATAGTAGAACTAGCACACAGTGAAGAGATAATGAGGGGCTGGGTGTGGGAGCTTGGCAGGAGTCATGATGTTGGGAAGGAGGAAGATGGAGAGGGAATGAGAGGAGAAAAAACAAATATAAATAAATCCTAGAGTTTGGTACAGTGTTCTCACAGAATTACCCCAGATTACCTATTCTTCATTCAGAAAAAAGAAAGAAGACAGACTGTATGTTACTCTGTACCACACTGTGATGCACTTTCCTAACCCTGTTGATTACTCTAGTTGTTTAATAAAGGTATCCTTGGGCTGAACTAAAATTTAACGTAGATCTTTGACTCCATGTTCAATTATACAATGCTGGTATCCCAGGTAAACTGAAATTCACTTTCACTGGGATTAACCATTGGGATTTTATTGGGGTTCACCAACTGAAAATCGAAAGACAGGAAATAATAAAATTCGAGGTACAGTCCCAATTTCCATGAATGTTTTCTGAGGTTTTAATGTGTGATAATCACTTTTAAGTTAATCAGACTTTTTAGTTAAAAAAACACCAGAATGCTGTGGAACATTAGCTTAAATATTTATAAATATTAAGAGTTTCCAAATAACATTATGTTTAATGTCAACTTTATTTCTTCTTTCCCTTTTTTATATTTATAGGAATATGGCAAGTATTTTTAAAAAATAAATAATATATTATTGCTTATTGAGAGTGAATAAAGGTAGAATTCCACATGAAAACTTCAATAACTATTAATTGAATTTTACATATAAGCAAAAATATTCTATATTATTTTTCTGACTCATTTGTTTTCTTTTATATTAAGTCCCTAGCATTGTGCCACACTACTAGTCTATAAATATACAAATGAAAGGAACAAAAGGCCAGAATTGGCCTTCTCTCTCTCTCTTTTTTTTTTTTTTTTTTTTTTTTCAGAGACAGAGTCTTGCTCTGTTGCCCGGACTAGAGTGTATTGGCACAATTTCAGCTCACCACAACCTCTGCCTCCTGGGTTCAAGTGATTCTTGTGCCTCAGCCTCCCAAGTAGCTGGGACTACAGGCATGCACCACCATGCCCAGCTAGTTTTTACTTTCATAAGAGATGGGGTTTCACCATGTTGGCCAGGCTGGTCTCGAACTCCTGACCCCAGGTGATCCACCCACCTCGGCCTCCCAAAGTGCTGGGGATTACAGGTGTGAGCCACTGTGCCTAGCCAGAACTGGCCTTTTCATTAGAATTATTGACATTACCAGATTTAAATGACTATAAGCAAAGACATTATTCAAATGAAAACTCATTCGGTCTGATTCAATCCAAGTTCCTGTTCATCATTTTATGTGCTCATAAAATGCAATGTCTTTTCAATATTCTACATAAAATGTTGGTAAAATCTAGGTTCAAATCCTACTTGAATTGTAAGAGCAAAAATATTCTGCAATATCAAATTACACTAATACTGTGCAACATTCCTGCACAAATTAAGAGATTCCAACCAACCCAAATGAGAATGCTCACTGGGAAATCATTAGGAGGAACCCAGCACAGTCTTGAGTTGCAATAATTTCTAAAAAAAAAAAAAAAGCAAAAACAAACAAACAAAAACCAAAGACAAAACAAAACAAAACAAAAAACCCTGGTGCCAAAAATCTGTGGTCTTAATTTATAAATATGAAAACAGAATTAGGTTAAAAAAAAAATTGTCTACTGTCACAAAGTAAAGAGTCAAACCTAGAAGTAGAATTTCTGTTTTCTGAATTCCAGTCAGAGGCTCTTTCTACCACAATATTTTCCCTAGATGTACATACAATCTGACATTCTTTGCCTCTCCTTTCTATTTTGTTTACGTTGAGTTTCTATCAAAGTTGTAGAGACTTGTTTTTGTAAGAGCAGTGAAAAGAAAGTCAGAGGTACAGTGGGAGGTGGTGGTAGCATATTTATAAAAGGAGTAGGAAAAATGCAACCTATGCTGATAAATTTGCATGATCTATGTGAAAAGCTGGGCTAAATGTATTTATTAAAGACTATGGGATATAGTTAATACTAATACTTTTCTCCTTGACTGAAGACATTATTGGCACATATAGCCACACTCTAGCAGTAGGTGTAAACTTTTTAAAAAAAATTGCAGAAACTCCCCACTTTTTTCTAGATATTAATAAAATCTTACACAGAACCCTAAATTGCTCAGACTAAAGTATAGCTGAGACCTTAGGATTCAATCCATTTGGTTTCCTTTTTCTCCCTCAAACTGGCTCTGCAGAGCACAGTCTGCAAAACCACCACTGGGCTACAGATTAAATTTATATTCCATTTTATTCGGAGACCACGAGTCTAGATTAAATTTGGCAATGATGTAACAAATTATTCATAGAAAATTCCTTCTCAATGAGAAACACTTACAAAGCTTACTTCATGATACATAATCATGAAATAGAAAATGATGCACACATAACCATACTCATGGCTGTTACCTCTAGGCCTAAGGAGAGCAATGGGTCCAGAATTATAAAGGGATTAAAATACCCACTAACTTATTCCACTTATGCTCAGATGAATGAAAGTCAGTAGTAAAAGTGAGAGTTGGTGGGCATCCCAGGGAATTATGGACAAGTCTAACGTTATAAAGAACTATTGCAACTAAAAAAGAAGGTGCTCAGGTGGGATCCAATTTGGGTTAACAGGCAACTAGATAGCCTGTCTGCACTGTGTAAAAGATGAACTTTACTTAGAACATAACACCTTAATAACTAAAGAACTTAGTTCAATTATAATGACAATGTAATTTGTAAACATAAAATAGTCTCCTAGGTAAAGAGACTACTTCAACACAAATTAAACTGTCTTAAGACTGAAATAAAGGGATTCTTAGAAGTTTATTAAAAACTTCATATATTTACACAAGAATAAACACTATTTTGAAGATGATTTATAATTTCTTACCATTTGCATATGGCGTGACCATCTTCTTATTGGTCATTACACGTGCTGTAGCATTATTTACCTAAAAATAACAAGGAGAAAAAAGGGCAGGGAGGAAGTAGACCACATTAGGGGATATAAAGTTGCACATCCCGCAACACAGTACTTAGTTTAAAATGTAAATTTCTGAGAGCATTGATTTAAATAATTAACAAAGCAATATAAAATATTAATATATAGTATTAATATATAGTATTTTAATTAAAGTGCTTATTAAATGAGGCAAACAAGAGTAAAATGAGTTTCTTGGTTTCCAAATATCAGTACTCCAAAAAAAAAAATACATTTGCAAGATCTTTGGACACCTTTTAAACAGAGAAACCTCTGTACTGAGGAAAATATGGAAAAAAGTAAACAGAAAACGGTATTAGCAATTCACTTTGAAGTTTGTTAATTAAAACAGGCTTGCCACATGGGTCATTAAATAAATTGATGGAAAGGTGATAACATAAATCTGATTTCACCTGTCCTACTGTTCAGCATTTTTAATGTTTGTCTGGGATTTTTACTGTCTGAGCTTAGTAAACAAATATAGAAACCCAAGATTCCCATGCTGATAGCCTTCAGGATCATTCTAAATTTTCTAGACTACATGGTCTATCAATTTAAGAACAAAGCTTTTAAGAAAGCCTTTAAAGTAGGCACTTCAAAGAATTGAGAAAACAAAGTGTTTATTTTGTTTTACGGTACTCTCTACCCTCATGACCAAACTGCATATTTGAAAGCGTCCTCAGTGCCAGAGTAAGCAGGTGTTACAAAGACGGTACTGCTGAAGAAAAGATGAATGGAACTCAGATGCCAGCATCCTGCAGCCCAGTGACAGAACCAGTCTCAAAGCTTTTGCAAGGAGGGTAAAGCCCCACCATAGATAGAACTTGACTTATACGGTGTTGTCAGGTCATACAACATGCCAATTGAAAAAAGAATCATAAAATATAAATGACTTATTTTTGCCTCTTCAAATTTACATTGTATTCAATTTGTTGGTGATAAATTTGTGTTATGAAAAGACCAATTTCAAGTAGAATTAGAACTAAAAAAACCTCTTCTTATGTCTTTTAAGATCTGTACAGTGACACTCCCCCTACATGAGGAAAGAGCTTGAAACTCCATTTACTCTAGTTTTACCCACTAAATAATATAAACATTTCACATTTAAAAAGAAAGAATGGGATACAACAATGATGAGACTGAGAGCATGCAGTTAAAAAACACACACACACAAATGAAAGAAAGAACAATCAATTTTGGAAAGAAGGGAGAAAGTGAAAAGCAAGGTTCTCACAGACAAGGATTAGAATGGAGCAAAAGCTGAAACCAGCTGCTGGAGCAGAAAGCAACCAAGCACTTAAACGGAAAAATGGCCAGAACCAATCAGAAACCACCAGTCAGCGAAAAAGGGACCAAGAGCTGCATGTAACTGAAGGGATGAGAAAGGAGAATAGGGAAAAGGACAGGAGCAAGGATTTGGAGAAAGAGAATAAGGTAGGGAAAAAGAAGTCAGGAAGGGTGTAATGGGCAAAGAAAGAACAGTCAGAGCTACAAACATGGGTTTGGGAAACAGAAAAAGTAGGGAAGGAAGTAGGGGCAGGAAGTGCATTAATAAAACCAGCCAAACTGGAGTTCAGTAACTCTGAGTAAGATGTGCAAGGGGAAAAAAATCACCATGAAGTCAGTAATCAAACAGCTCAGACTGCTACAAAACAATATGTACATCCAAAATCCAGGCGGCATTACTCAACAGCATTGAAAATAAAAGGGGGAAAGGAAAAGGAAGAGGAACAACAAGTCAAATCACATTTTGTAGTGTTAATGTGAGATGGCAGATGGACTTTTTCTTTCTTATTTAACTGTTTTGTAATTACATTTTTAAAAGCTTCTTCTCTAGTGCTTTTGTTTCACTTACCGCCAACGGGCACCATCGCCAGCATTGTGTATAGTTACCATGGAAAGAGTGAGTCAAGTGAAGGGCCCTAAATGCTAAACCATTGGAAAGGAGGGGAAAAAAAGCAAAATATGCAGACATCTTACTCAAAATGGTGGCTTTTACATTTAATACTTTAAAAAATTGGGAAAGGGGAAAGGAGCCAGTTAACCTTCGATGTGTTAACAAAAAGGGCTGGTGAATACCAGGTGGTAGACTTAGTCATAATCACAGTACATTCGCCAGCCAGCCATCAAACCCTCTGTTTAAGAATTTTATCCATAAAAATTTAGCTATCAAAATTCTTCGTATTAGATATATTTAAAAACTATATGAGTTTTGGATTTTTTTCCTCCCTCCCCACAATCTCTAGAATCTTCTATTCTGTGCTTATCATGCGCACATAGAGGCAAACTGGCCTCCCAAGAGAGGATATTGGCTGGCCCCTTGATTCATTATAGAACACAGTGTTATAAATTGGATAGTTTTTTTTTTTAAAACAATTTAAACATTAGTTTTGCTTAGGCCTGATCACAGGAATTCAGAGTCTTGCAAACTGAAGCAAAGGAAAAAAATCAAGAGAGCAGAAGGATGAATATTTTGGAGGAAAAACATAAATGAAAAACATACACACACACAAAGTCAAAATTAAAACCCCCAAACAACCAATAAATGAGGAGGGAGGCAGACAGAAGTGTTACTTTTATACATTTTAGTGCAAGAAGGTGAAGAAGACAGAGATACAAACACACATACATGTGCACGCGCACACACAAGACAGGGTTCCAAATGTGAAATAAGTGAGGCAATACAAAAAAAGAGAAATAAAAATATAAACCAGAAATTGAATTATTAAAGACATGCACCTCGATTTTACGGCCCTCTACCACGGTGCCGTGTAATTTCTCCCTGGCCCTGTCTGCATCAGCACTATTCTCGAAAGTTACGAACCCGAATCCCTGCATGCAGCGGGAGAAGGGGGGAAAACATGCACATCGTTACATTGAAATACTGATCTCTTGGTAAATAGAGAAAAAATATCATAGTGTGAAACTGACATCAGCAACAACTCAGCAATAGTCTCCCAAAGTCACATTTTTGGTCCATGCATATTTGTAAAGGGAAATTAAATCCAATAAAAGAATAAAGAACTGTAATAATAATAATAATTAACAGCAATGTAATAATAATAAAATAAAACATAAAGCATATGAGGCCAGACCAAAATTAAGGTACAGAGTTACTCGGGTCAAACTACTCAACCAAGAATCTGAAGATTTTTTAATGTCCTACCTTTCTCTATCAATTCATGTTATTAATTTAATGCACATGCCCCTTTATGTAATATTAAAAAATACTTAATTAAATTGACTCTCTGACATCCCAAATCTATTATTTCCCAGTAACCGCTACATGAAATCTGATATTCAGGTTCAACATTGCATAATGAGATTTTTTTAAAGTAGGGCTAATCATTTTAGCCCCTTGTTGCTGTTGCATCTATCACTATTAAATTTCTTTGGGAACAGGATAATTTAGGACATAGTCAGTGTACAATTCTGTATGTACTGGGTGTGGAAGAGGAGAGCATTTATGTTCTTCTAAGCAAATAAAAACATCACTAAACAGCGGTCAATTATAACTTTTCTTCAATGCCCATTTTAAATGACCAGATTGGCACTTGGTGTAAATATATGTTCAACTGAATTTCAGAAAACTGCTAACCCAAATTTGCCTAAATTATACATTTATTGATAGTTATGTATGCTATTAAATGTAGTAGTAATTTTCTATATATAGAGAAAAAAGAAACAATCAATGGGCAATGGGAATGAGATCTACATTAGTGACATCAGTTCACAGAAAAAGAATATTCGTAGAAAAAGAATATTGGAAAATAGCAATGCAGTTGGTACAACGAGTTAGGAATAATTTACTTGTTCCTTGCAAGAGACTACAAAAATGGAGTGGAACTTTAATTCATTAAATAGACAAATCAGGAGACCAGGAGCTGACTAACTTCACTCCTTTGTTCATTACTACCAATTTTAACACAAGTACCATTTACCATTCACTTACATGACTTTCATAAAACATCATATTAACTTCATTCTAGGTGCTTTGTTCTTATCATTCTACTTCGCAGCTATAATTTTACAAATAATTTCCATGCTATTTATATCTGCAAAGTAGTAAAGTATTAGGATTTTCTGCAAAGTCTTCATTTGCCAATAACTTCATTGTCTTGCTAGTTATTTTTTGAAAATTCTACTGTAGGATAACCCAGAACCCTTTAATTTTAACTGAAGTTCTGCCTAGCTGCTTAATAACATGAGCATACTTCTCTCTATAAAAAACATGTTCTTAACTGACATGGTAAACAATGTGCATTGCTCAATAAGATTTTATAAAAGCAACTCTATTTTTCTGAAGGATCTGATAACTCAGCATTCTAACTGATTATGTGGGTGGGTGGCGTTTTGGAGAATTCCAATGGTTGATCTCTACCCACAATTTGGACATCACAAATACTCTTGAAAGTGCAATGCTAAGCTGATAGAAAATTTAAAATGTATGTTGCTTGGGATGAAATACTACTGGTAATTTCAGCTGATACTCGCCTATAGAATGCGTAATTTGTTGAAAATATCAACAGAAACTATTTTCATAAATGAAATTTTGGTATCAACATTTATAGCCACTTTGATACCACAAGGTATAAAAGGGCACATTAATAATTAGTTATACCATTTGTCATCTACACTAGCACCTGCTGAAGATAAGCTGCCAGTCCTCTAATCCTGGTGAGTCCCCCAACAAGAAAGTCAGACTTTTAAAGGAATGTCACAGAGAGTGATGAGTTTTAATATCATACTTTAAAAGCATTTTTGGCTGTATTCCAACTGATCCTCACAGTCATACATTTTATGACTTAGGTTAAATTAATACATTGTAAATTAATAGTTGGATTACTATTAAGTTATATGAAAACCAAGATCTAGGTTTTTGATAGCAGCATTATGACTGTATCTACACACCCACACACAAATATACATACTTGTTTGTATCTTCTTAAATACAACCATGAAGTAAAAAGAATAGATATGTTGGCTTCATTTTGAAGGTAAAGAAACTAAGCCAAACCAAGATTAAGTACTCAAGGATATACACATAATGGTGAGAAAAGTCTAAGCCTTTTCAAATCTCAGTTCAGTATTCTATGTACTAAACTGTACTAGTCCGAAAATCCTTCATTTTTTTTTTCCAAATCTAATTGCTAAGTATCTTCTATAACTTTCTTTTCTCGAACGTGTTGAAAGAACATTAGGGACACAAATACTGCATCCAAAAGAACGGAAGGTGGTATGATGAGCATTGAAATTTTAGAGTAAGCAAATGACAACGTTTAACATTAATGTCTGCTTGTACAGGATTTTCTCAATAATGACTTTAACATTCTGGAACAAAATTGCACTTCCTTTTTTTGTTTTATATTTTATTGCACTTTAGGTTCTGGGGTACATGTGAAGAACATGCAGGATTGTTGCATAGGTACATACATGGCAATGTGGTTTGCTGCCTTCCTCCCCATCACCTATATCTGGCATTTCTCCCCATGTTATCCCTCCAAAATGTTTTAAAAGTGTTTTATAAAGAAAGGTGCTTATACACCAAAGGAAACGATAATAAAGATACCAAAAATATAAAAATAAAGCAATCTTCATAAGCATTTTTTTCCCTGGGGTGATAGGAGGAAGAAGGCCTTGTTGATGCTTTGGGACTCTTTAATATGAAACATAAAGGTAAGAAGATTTCTTTCTTTGCTTTGAAGATAAACAGACCTTGCAACAGGCGGAATAATGGCTTCCGAAAGTTGTCCACGTCCTAATCCCCAGAGCCAGTGAATATGCTACCTTACATGGCAAAAGGGATTTTGCAGATGTGATTAAGTTAATGATCTTGAGATAGAGAGAGATTATCCTGGATTATCCAGTTGGGGCCAATGTAATACAGTGGCCCAATGTGGCCACTGTACTGTGCTTATAAGTGAAAAGCAGACAAAGGAGAGACAGAATCAGAGTAAAGCAGCCTGACAAAGCCTTGACTGGCCACTGCTAGCTCTGAAGACACAAGAGAGCTATAGTCCAAGAAATGTGGGCAGCCTCTAGAAGTTAGAAAAGGTAAGAAAACAGATGATCCCTTAGAGCCTCCTGAAGGAACATAACACCTTGATTTCAGCCTTCTGAGACTCATTTTGGACTTCGGACCTCCAGAACTGCAAGATAATACATGTGTGGCTTTCAGCCACCCAATCTGTGGTCATTTGTTCAGAAGTCACAGGGAATTAATACATACTTCAGAATTAAAGTCCATGATTAGGAAGATGAGAGGTATGACTAAAATTTTTTTAAGTACTGTTCTTAAATACTTTTCTCTCACGTTTTAACTTTAAACAGGTGATTTTTCATCAACCCAGACTTTGTACTTCCTTATCACATTCACAATTTAGTTTCAATAGCATAAACTCAAATCTTTTTTTTTTTTTTTTTTCCTGAGACAGAGTCTCACTCTGTGGCCCAGGCTGGAGTGCAACGGCTCGATCTTGGTTCACTGCAACCTCCACCTACTGAGTTCAAGTGATTCCCCTGCCCCAGCCTCAGCAGTAGCTGGGACTATAGGTGCATGTCATCACACCCCACTAATTTTTGTATTTTTTGTAGAGATGAGGTTTCGCCATGTTGGCCGGGCTGGTCTTGAACTCCTGACCTTAGGTGATCTGCCCGCCTCAGCCTCCCAAAGTGCTGGGATACAGAGGTGAGCCACCATGCCCAGCCAACATGAACTCAAATTTTAAAACATTTTTAGAATATACTATTTCTTATTAAAATTTAGCATATTAGAAAAGGTACCAGAAACTGCTAAAGATGTTCACAGATTATCCAGGTTTAAAAGTTACCAGCAGAAAAGTTTGTTTACATGAACTCATATTTTGTCACTTCACTCTTAGAACTCTAATTGACATTAAGTTGGTCATTCTGATCTCTTGCTTTGGAAAAACAAGTTAGTAAAATTATGTATAATCTAAAATATTTTCCTTAGAACAGCTTCCAAATGATCATACAACCTATCAAACACTGTCTACACGGTTATAACATATATAGCAAATAGACTATATAATCTACAATAGATTTAATCTCAAATTCTGAACAAGAGGAAGTATTTCAGCTACATAAACAGATGGAAAATTTTTGTTATCTATATTTCTATTAATAAAACCAGGTTTTAAAAAAGTAAACTTTAATTTTGAATTAAAAAATGATTTTGACATGTTTGTCTACACCAGCACTATAGACAGAAATATAAGCCACATACATAGTTTAAAATTTTCTAATAACCACATTTAAAAAGTAGAAACAGGTGAAATTAATTTTGACAATGTATTTTATTTAATCCAATATATACACATATTAACATTTCAATATGGTATCAATATTAAAACATTATTACTGAGATGCTTAATATTCTTTTTTTGTGCTAATTCTGAAATCTGGTATCCATTTTTACCCTTACAGGCACACCTCAGTTTAAACTCTCCACATTTCAAGTGCTAAATGTGACCACTGTAGTGGGCAATGCAGGTCTCTATACTTTATACTCCTCTAAGTTCTCAGTCCTCAAAGTCCTTCTATATTAAACATTTAAACACACCAGGGTTACATTTATGATTTGCCAGGTATCTTAGCTGACTTCTGGAAACTGAAGAATGGTATATTTATGAGGTGTATGGTTTTAGTTAAAACTTCTACAATGGGTGACAGCAATTTCATAGCCTGCCTTGACATCCATTTATCATTGAGGACATTCAAGAGCCAAGTAACTGTCACCTTTTTAGTCTGGCCTCAGACTGCAATAAATAACAAGCAACAGAATGAACATTGTAAAAATGTTATTAAAATTT